ACTACGAATATCTTTCATGAAATGCTTTCTTTTTGGCTGCATCACAACACTATCTGTGTTTTCTGAAATATAAAATCAAGGCAGCATAATAAAAAACTTAGTTACATGCTCATATTATTTATTAAACATCAACAATGAAAGCCGAGTAATTCATCAAATAGAACATACCTTTGCCTTTATGTGGCTTGGGATTTCGGTATACAAATCGGTCCAGGAATCTCATTAGTGTGAAATCCTGCAGTGGGTCCCCTGAATACTGAATATAATTTCCCTGAAAGGTGGGGGTGGGGAATTTAAGAATGTAACTTAAATTATATATATATGCATCCTGGTAAAAACAGAGGAAAACATAAGCCTCTATTACACTGCATAGAAGGTACAAATTTGCAATCAATGACTCTTCAAATATCCCTCTCATGCACATTATTCTTTACTTGAAGAAATTAAACACACACTTATACAAACATTCTATGATGCTTTATGAACAGGTAAATAATATTAATACTGCAGGTCACTTAAGGATTAACCAGGAACCAAACCCTGAAGTGACAAACACAGTAAACGGGAAAAGGGAGGGCCATCTTTCTCCAGAGAAAAGCCAGAATGTAATAAATGCGTGGTTTTCTAAAATCCTCTATTTCCATTCATCTCAGAATGGGAAGACTCATCTGCTGCTCTGTATTAAACAAGCCACTGCTCCTTTACAACAGCAGAAAAATGTATATGATTCTATGTGGTGGAGAAAACACTGTATGACCAATCATTGATTATCTAAAACTAGATTACTTATTTTTTTCCTATAGCCTGTCGTTTGAATATTTTAGACTTACCTGAAGGATAGTCTTTGCAAAAAGGGCCACAGAGGGATGAAAATGCTCTGATAGCTAAAAAGAAAAATGTGAATAAGGTCAACTCTTTCTACAATTATAGATTACTTAAGAAAATCCAAAAAATTGAAACTTAAGCCAACATATTAGAAGACTGATTCTCAAAATTCTGGTCTCAGGACCACTTAATGTACTTAAAATCAAAGACTTCAAGAGCTTCCTGAATTTAAGTGGGATGTATCTATTTATATTTACCTTATTAGAAACATTTTAAACATTTATAAATTACTTAGAATAATAAACCTATTACATATTAATATAAAGAGCATGGTTTATGAAAAATAATTATTTTTAAGATTAGTGAAGTGTCACATTATTTTAGTTTTATTTTCAACATTTTCAACAGCTCACTGCTCATTTTTATTTTAGTTTTGCAAATCTATGTGATGCCTAGCTTACTAGAAGATAGTGGATTCTCGTTATCTGCTTCCATATTCCATGTTACTTTAGTTGAAGTATATGAAGAAAATCTGGCCTCATACAGATATATTAGTTGGAAAAAGGATTTACTAATAGCTTTTCACATAATTGTGGATTTTCTTCCTGTTCAAGAACACGTCTTCCAAATACCCAAATCTGAATAACCAGTCTGTTGTTCTGCCAGTCCTTCATGAAAAAAGTGGCTAATTGAGTTTCCAACAACTCCACAGACACCTGTCCTTGAGAAATGAGACAACCTTTACACTTAGGTATGCAGCACAAGTGTTATGCATTCTTGCTATGTACGTACACAGACTATTAAAAAATGTACTTTAGGGTCAAGATAATAAAATCAGTAATTTTTCCTGTCTCATCGTTCTTACATGATTCTGGCTTTTTTTTTTTTTTAATTGCAGTATGTGGCAGTAAAGAATAAAACAGCTGTGAGTGCAGTTTAGTGCTACTGTCTTTATCATGCTAAGGCACCAATAATTTTATTCATCATTTCTTTTACACCATCAGGGCCACTGTCAACACAGTGACAAAGGTAAATGTCTTGGTATCACTATGAAAATAGTTGTGACCTTGCAGACTTGTTGAAAAGGTGTTGGGGACGCCCAGGGGCCTGTGCCCACACTTAAAGGTCATTAGAAATATGAGTTACTCTTATTCATTTAAAAAGTAACTTTATTTGCAAAAAGTTCTATCCCAAAACTTCAGGGTTTTCTAATGCATAAAGCAAAAGTTACCTATTTTGAAGAGCCGTTATATGCAATAATCTACCTACAAAAAGCAAAACTTAATTATAGCCATGTAGAACATCCTTATTTTGCATGTACATTATTTAAGATTTTCTACATGTGTGTGCATAAAGGCATAAATGTGGAAATTTAATGTTTATCAGAGACAACAGAAATATGGGTAGGAAAGCATTACAGCTGTGTGACATACTTCAAATTGCTTCTTTATAACAATTTATGTCTAAATAACTTAACTCCTACATTTACTATTTGAAAGAAAAATGGAAACTTCAAAGTGCTAAATCCATGAGGACAAATATACAGCACAAGTGAATTAAAAGACAATATGAAATTATTTTACCTTTTTGAGTTCCCAAAAACTTGTATTTTCAGCTCCACAGAACAAAGGGTTTCTACTGAATGGATCATAAGTGTGTAACTGTTTGCCACCTGAGAACCAAAAAGGTATTTCTAGAATTACTAGTATTTCTCTTATTCCTAGCCCAAGATGTCACTAAAGCCACCATTATTAATGTTGTTACCAACAGATATAATTTCCAACATTTTTAGTTAGCCAGGCATCCTACGTAGATTAAAAACTCCAAGCCCCTTCAAGAATATCTTTGTCCTAGGGCGGCCGGTTAGCTCAGTTGGTTAGAGCACAGACCCATAACAACCAAGGTTGCCAGTTCGATCCCCACATGGGCCACTAAG